TGGGAAATGGTAAATAAATAAGATTTTGGAAAGATAGATGGGCTAAAGATGTGGTGCTTGAGGAGACTATTCCTCAAGATATGATTAACAATAATGATCTTTTAGTGAGTGAGGTTATAGATAGAGAGAGGAATGTTTGGATGGAGTGTAAAATCAGGAGCTTGGTCCCCAGCAATATATGGGAGAAAATCAAATCTATTTTTATTCCCTCGGGCTCAAGGGAAGACAATCTAATATGGAGATTAAATACTGATGATAAATTTTCTATCAACTCAGCCTATAGAACAAAATGTACATCAACAAATGATGAAAGCATGATTTTCAAAACCGGATCAGACCGAACCAGAGGTGACCGGTTCCGTTTTATCCCAGAATCGTTATTTCCCCCAAAACCATCGATTTGGTCAGCAAACCGTTGACCTAGGCGGTCGAACCATTCAACAGTTTGGCTGGTTTTTATTTTATTTTTGTCAGAACAGGTCATTCGTTCAGTTCGAATGATTGGACCGTTCGACCCAGGAACCGGACCCCTGACTAATTCGTTGTCCAGTTCGATTTTAAAAACCTTGGGTGAAAGTAATAACCTGAATTGAAAGTCAAAAATTTGGCATTTAAGTTGTCCCCCGAAATTGAAAACCTTCATGTACCTTCTCCTCAAAAGGAAGCCCCCTACAAAAGTTTTCCTTAGAAATAAAGGATTTATTGTCCATGGAGCTTACAGATTTTGTGGTGAACATAAAGATATTGAACCTATTTTTAAAAACCGTGAAATTGCTAGACAAGTATGGAGAATGTTGCCATGTTCCATTGTTAATCCTAATGATGTTGATTCTTCGTTGTTGGAATGGTCGGATGAAGTGAGGGCTAAGATTTAAACGTGAATCCAAATTGCAAAGAGAAGTGTGTTTTTATATTATGAAATATATGGAAGAATCAAAACCAAAAAATCTTTAGTAATAATAGTGCTCCTCCTGACTTTGGAGAAAGCCTTAAATGATCAAAAGGAATATGAAAATGCTTGAAAGGAAAACTATCTTGTACATCAGAAATCATGGAAACTTGTTGCTTGGAAAGCTTCAAAGTCCAACTAACATTATTAAGATAAATTTTGACGCCTCTCGATCTAGTAATGGGAGATGCTTTATTACTGCTATTGCAAGGAATTACTATGATGAGATTGTGGACTTCAAAGCGTACATTTTAGGGACTATTACTATCAATTTGGCAAAGGCTTAAGCGGCATGGGAGGCTCATAACTTGGTGGCAAACTTCACCAACAACCCCGTCATTATCGAGGTAGATTCTAAACTAGTTATCTTGTGCTTGAAGCTCCTCTCCAATCCTCCGTCGTGCTTAAGGAACATCATCCAAGAATGCTTAGAGCTGAAGAAGTGGTTAAATGAGATATTCACTACAAGCATGTTTACAGGGAGGCTAATCATGCTACAAATTGGTTAGCAAACTCTGCGCTCTCAACGGCTAATGGATGGATTGATTTTGGTCTGGACAATATACCTCCTGATTTAGTTTGCATTTGTTTTAGTGACTTCTGGGGGAGTGCTACCCYTCGACTTGTATAGCACGCCGAGATTTTATAAAAAAAAAAATGAATATAAAATAGCCATAGGACATTTCTAGTTAAAACAATTAATCCTAGTTAATTTAAATATTATATTTTTGAGTTATGTTTAATTGTTCCAATCCCAATCCAAATTGAAACCTTAGTGAGAGTGGTTGATTTTGTGCATTGATTTCAATGGGTCAAGTTAAATTATAAATTTGACTTGACTCACCCCTATATGGTCAGGTTAGTGTTAGACTTATTACTAAGGGTGTGGGTCAAGTTAAACTATAAATTTGACTTGACTCACCTCTATATGGTCATGTTAGAGTCAGGTTTATTAGTAGGGGTGTACATTATTTGGTTAAAACCGAAAAACTGAACTAAAAATTTCAGTTTTTGATTTTTTTGTTCGATAATTTTGGTTTTGGTTTCAGTTTTTAGAATTAGAAATTCGGTTAATCGAATTAACCGAACTTTGCTATATAATATATAATATAATGAAATTTGATTTCATAATATATATATATATATGTATGTATATGTATATATTCTTAGTTTCAATTATTTCAGTTTTTCTATAATTCTGTTTTGGTTCACCTTTTATTTTTTCAATTCAGTTTTCAAAATTTTGGCTGATTCGGTTTAGTTTTTAATCGAACAAACCAAATGCTCACCTCTACTTATTAGGGCTTAGGGTCAGATTAGAGTTTTGATTTTTTAACCTAAATCGGGTGCAAGTTTGGCTAACCTAGCCAATCGAGTCATAATACTCCTACACATATAAAGGGTATTCTTGTAATTTGGTTTGACTTCTAACCCATAACCTTAAAGCTTATGATTTCTTTTATGTTTGTTTTAACCCAAATTGAGTGTAGAGTTAGTTTAGAATTTTGATTATTTAACCTAAAATCCAAATGGGGTTTAGGTTTTGATAATCCCCGCTCATCAGGTCATAATACCCATACACATATAAAGGGTATTCTTGTAATTTGGTCTGACTTCTAACCATTAATCTTAAAGTATATGATTTATTTCACTATTTATTCTAAGTTTTTTTTTTTTCTTTCAATTGGATAAGCGATACTTAACCCATAAACCAATTCGCAACTTAAATTAATGGCTCTTGAATTTTCAAAAATTATTACAAAAAAAAAAATGCAATTGAAAGACTATGGAATGGGTTGGGTCCGTATCGAGTTGACCTATAGGCCGAGGCAGGCTCATAAACTATATAGTAGTGAGTCAGGTTAGGTTGGGTTTGAGCGGAACCATGGGTGGGTCAAATTAGGGTTGAGTCAAGAGCCATTAATTTAAGCTAGAAAATTGGTTTATGGATTATTGGGTTGACATCCTTATTCCCATAACATTCTTTTTTTGAGAGAAAATAAAGTAGAAAGAGCCGTATAACATTCTTTAATCATGGGCCAATCATGGGCCAAATTAGGTTATAGGCCTAGTATAAAGCTTTATTAATATAATTGTTCAAATAGAATTTAGAATAATAAAAATTAGTTTTAAAATGAATAAATTTCTCACAAAGAAATAGTTTTATAAGATTACTATTTTTTATTAATTTTATTTATAATATTAGTACTTTAATTGGACTTTGAATTAATAATAATAATTTTACTTTATTATTATTACTATTATTATTATTATTATTATTATTACTATTATTATTATTATTATTATTATTATTATTATTATTATTACTATGTTAACAAATTTGAATTAATTTTTACATATGACGTAAATGTATTAAAATTATAACTATTATAGGCTTATTAGTAATAACAAATAATGATTATGCTACCTAATTAAGTTAATTAGGATTATTTAACCACATAAATAAGTTACCTAATTAAATAGGTAACTTAAAGCACAAGCATGTTAAATAATTTTCTCTTACAACTGTTGTATAACGTATGGATACATATTGGAATCAAACTAATGAACCCACATATAATACAATACGGGTCTAAACAAAAAAACCATGGGGTGCAACTTGGGCAAGTCCAACTCAAGTCCAGACTGACCCGACCCACAAATTTACATGAGCTGGGCTTAGATATTTGGTCTTTGGGTTAGACCWAGGCTTAAATGTTTGGTCTTTCTTAATCTTAGGGGTCAAGCCCAAACCTAGCTCTTGGACAATATGAGCCCAACTCAACCTTATCCCAATTAGAGCCCAACCAAACTATATACATATATACATAGACATATAGACATATTATGTGTATGCATTCATACATACATACACATACATAGATACATACATACATACATATAATATATATAAAAATATTGATAAAATTACATGGAATTACCTTCTATTTTAGGGGTAGTAATACTTAAAAGGCCCCAATTTTCACCGGCAATAATTAGATATCCTATATATTCCAACACTTTCGAGTCTAGCCATTGGCATTCCATCAGTTAAATGGCAAGAAGATTCACATTTGATGTCACATGCATTTTAAATATTTTTAAAACCCTAAACTACCCTTACCTTGATAAATTGTTTATCATCTTCAAGCTTCAACAAATAGAATAGAAACCGTGGACGAATAGAGTAGCTTTGGCTTATCTCTCTCTCTCTCTTAACCTCTTCTGGTTTTCTCTAATAAAGTAAAGGTAAACATTTAATAGATTGGGTTAGATTAAGGGCCAAACCAAACCAAGGTCTCATTATGCAAAATTCAATATATGAAAGAGCCATAGGACATTTCTACAGGAAATCCGGTTTGTGTAACTCCTCCCATTTCCATTTCAGGGACATTTTTACCACTTCACTTCCTCTTGTGGTTCTTCAGGCTATGTTTGCTTTGAAGGAAAAGATAGGGAAGGAAGGGAAACATGCATAGGGAAACCTATACAAGGCTTGTAAGGGTTTCCTTACATTTTCTTTCGTCCTTTCCTTATTTTTTCTTTCAAACCAAACACACCCATAATTTATTTCTTTTAATGACACGTATAGCATTAGCATTCGTTGTTGCAYTCATTTTTAACCTGAAATTTAGGATTTAGGGTTTAGACGTGAAAATGAAGAGGTGGTAAAACAAAAACGTCATTTGAGAGACTGAACCTATAGTAATTTGTTACAACTGAAATGACACCAAGAAAYCATATTTATCCATGARTACAACATGTCTTCCACATAAGTAATTATCATAGCAAAAGTTCTAATAATTACAATACAAGATTTAAAAATAAAATGATAGAAATGACAAGTGCATCCCTAATCAAACCAAAACATTTTAATCCACTAAAATCAAGAAGCCAACCTAACTAAAACGCACATAGGTAGAGAGAGAGAGATATCCTTTTGATAATTCACGCCGGTTTTCTGCAAGTAATGACGGTATATTTGACGACACCCTTCCTGAATCCCTCATTTGCCAATTGCAAGTTAAACAGTCCCTTTATGTTTTCCCATCCTGAATGAATTCAGAATCACACATTTCATAGACTGATAAATATAACAAAGGAAAAATCAGATTACAAGTAGAGAATGTGATGAAATGCAAGCATACCACTTCGAAGCAGTGGGATGATTCTCTTCCATGATAATGCAGAGCGGATTACAGCAGGCCAAAATGGAGTCACATACTGCGACCAATCTGCTACCTTGATATCCTGCCATTGTGATGACTCTAAATAGAGTTATGTCTGTTTTTCTCATCTATGTACTTCAAAAGGAAAAATCATGTATATGTGTGCTGAGACACTTTACTTAGAGATGGAAATGAGAGGGGAAGGGTCAATCCTTTGGCCTTCTTCTATAGCAAGTTAGGTTCAAATTCTTGCTAGAGAAAGTGGAGCAATCACTGCTCATTGGGGTTAAGGTTACAACCAAGGATCAAAGCCCGGGATTTGAATTTTGAATTTCTAATTTTGTGCCATTAAAATTTTTTATCAGAAATATAACCTCGTAATTGATGAGATTTGAACTTAAGTCACCCAAATGCAACCCAAATAAATAGTAGTATATTTATGTGTTTAACTAAAAATTAAAAATAATAATCTTCAAAATCAGTATTTTATAAACATTAGAAAAATGGATAAATCTATCAAATGTCATATTTATGTATCTTGGAAATTCTAATAGATTTTCTATATTTTTAAGTTAAAGTTAAATATTTTTACAAATGATTAATCAATAATTTTATTTACATTAAATAACAACATATTTATAATTTAATTGCAAAAGTAAAAAAAAAATATTGTTTACAAAATATTTAAGAATCTAATATTAAGGTGACATTTTTACTAACACTAAAAAGTAAAAATAACAAAACAGTAAATAATTGATTTAGTAATTCAAATATAATAGTTGCATATAATATGTGTCTTGGACTAAATAAATAAAAACATAATAATGGTTTTGTGCATGTAAAATTTTGGCAAAGTTTATGTAATATGTCTCTTGAACTTTTAATTGATGTATTAAGAATAAAATTGTATGACTATATATGTATCTCGCTATATTAATTATATGTATTTCTCCATATATACTATTAAAATATACATTTCTTATCTACTTATACCTTATTTGTGGCATTCAACCTTAAATTTAGCATGGCTTTCAAAACCGGACTGGATCAGACATTCGGTCGGATTGGAAAACCGAGACCTGACCAGTTCCGTTTTACCCCAGAACCGTCATTTTGGCCAAAAACCGTTGATTAATTTGGTCAGCAAACCACTGACCTGGGTGGTCGAACTGTTCAAACCATCCAACAGTTTTTGGCCATTTTTTTAATTTTTTTTTATCAGAATGGGCCATCTGTTCGGTTCGAACTGTTGGACCATTTGACCCAGGAACCAGACCCCTGAACGGTTCATTGTCCGGTTCGATTTTAAAAACCTTGAAAACAGTTCACAACTTCCATTACTCAAATATGTTTAAAAATGTCGAAACATATTTTATCCAGATCCACATCCACTTCATCCCATTCAAGCTATGTTACCTGGATATCCCTACATCCATAGCATACCAATGCCATGCTATAAGGGAATCTTATATGTTATAGTGTTAAATTATTTTTGCAAGACAAAAGTCTTAAAAAATATGTAGATAGTTCAAAACCAGATGCAAAAGTATGATATAAGCATATATATATATATATATATCATATGGAAAATACCTAACAAAATCCTTGACCAAGATTTTAGGGGATGGAGAGTTGTATCTCTCTTTTCCCATTTTTGTGTACATGTTGATATCTAGGAATTGTAGCTCCCAAGGCCCCCATATAGCTAGGACAAACATTGTTTAATGATCTTTCTACTTCATCTCCTTCCTCTTCCTAGTTTTCTTTTAGAATGATCTTTCTTTATATAGGATTCTACCTCATTGTATTAATAGGGAAGACTCAATTAGGTTGACGTTAAGTCAGTTGGTTTGGTTCAGACTTCATATTAGCCCCAACTCGTATTGATTGACCCATTTCCATCCTTAGGCACAATGTAGAGAATGCATGAATTACTTCATTGGAGATCACATGAGTTCATTAACTACACAAACACTTTATTTTTATCTTTCTTTTCTTTCTTTTATTTTTTTTAGGGGGCATTCGCTTTTTGAATTTTTAGAGGGGGAAATAGAATTTTAGTTCCCATTGATCAAGAAACCCATGTTCCTTTTTCAGATTTATGTGGGGATTAGGGGAAATTTATTTTTCTAGGTATACCCATTTCCTAGGTGGATAAAAAACATTCTCACGTGGAAAAATAATTGTCAACACTTGTATGGGGTAAAAATGTCCCTTTTAATAATGAATTTTTATGGTTAAAATGGTCGCCTGATTTATCTTGGAAATAAAAGTACATGGGTAAATGCACTTACTTGGGTAAGTGTATCCTAAAAGAAATATTTACCTGAATTGCTGAAAAGCAAACAGAGCCTTAGAGAATATATATTCTTTATAGACATTAAAATAATGAGAAAAAGAAGGCCTCTTCTCTATAAAAAATGCATAGTTCTGAAAATTAAGGCTAAAGAAAATGGATTCTCCATGTGGAAATGTGAATACCTGCAATGAGAAGGATTGAAGTAGTTTCACATGATCAGCAGCTGAACACAAATCTGGTAGATGAGTAGAATCACGTATCTTGTCCAATAGCTTCTTCTCTTCTGGCTTCAAGAAGTCCTCTGGGGAGGAGAGATCTCTATGACACCATGCCGTTATTATTATAGTGCCCCCAGGGGCTGCTACCCGTGCCAATTCGCTCACAAACTGCAAGACAATGATAAAATCAAACTAATTGAATTAGAGCAATAAATGAAGGACCAAAGCTTGGGTTCATTTATATAGAAGTGAAATTTCTCTTTGTTATTGTAGATTAGGATTTGATGATGTTTGGAGACTGCAAGTGCGCGATATTAGTAGTAAATTATTGAGTGCTGTATTTACAATTAATAATAACTACGTACAGGGAAGGGTTCTTTTTGTATCAGGATTTGGGTATATAAAGGAAATAAAATATCACTACAATTCAAGAGCTGTGAATCATGCAACATTTATGCCAAACAATGAGATGACATGGTTAAATAAGCATACGATGTTCCAAATTGGTGTCTCATTTTCAATTAAAAGCTAATGGAGAACTACCACTGAATCTCAAATGAACTATATACACCCTTATGAGATCAAAAATTACTCTTTGGTTCATTTAGGCATCTAATTAGACAATATTGAATGAAAGATGATGATAAAATAACTTCAACTTATGAGAGAGAGAGTGAGAGAACCTTTTTTCTGTCAGGCATGTGATCCACGCTCTCCATGGCCCAAACTAGATCAAACTTCCCATCAGGAAATGGTTGTTGCAAAGCATCCCCAACTATGAATGACACCTGCTAAGAGTTCTCAACTGTTGAATATACTTTGCAAACTTTCTTAACTCCTTTTCTATATTTACATGAGATGGAAGTAACACATTTTGGAGACAGACGAGTCTGAAGATCACATAACCGGATGGTTTCATACATTCAAAATTCTAAAAAAAAAAAACACCTACGTCGCATGTATGCATTCTTTTTATTGGCTTTTTATTCAACTAGTATAAAAGCAAGTATTAACCATAATATATGGCATTTGGTCCAGTTTATGTTTTGGGAAGTAGGAGGGGGGAAAGTGATTCCCATTGACCAACTTTATAGTGTTCTTTATTCGGAAAGCTCTAGGCATTAAAATAAAGTTAGTTTTTCTTGTACCCATCTCTTAGGTGAGTGATTAACTTTTCTACTTGGAGAAAAGTTTATAAAACATAATGGAACAAATTTGTCCACTCTAACATTGGCTTTTATGGATAAAAAGTTATTATATAACTTATTTGGGAATTAAAAGAACATGTGCAAGTAAATTTATCCAAATAAATGTTTTCCTAGAAACATTTACCTCAGTAAAAAATGAACAAGGCCTTAGGTTTAACTTTTATAACTTGGATAGAACCCATGACAAATATCTGCTTTATATAACATAGATAAAGGAGACACGACACATGTACTATTTTGCAAAGAAGCAAACAAGAACTAAGAATCTTAAATGCCACAAAACTCACATACTTTATCTGCTAATCCACGGGCAGCTGCCAAATCTTGAGCTCTTCGTACTTGGACAGGGCTCAAGTTGATACCTAGGCATTGGGCCCCATATTTCCTCGCTAGGTGCATGGTGTCGGCCCCCGATCCACACCCAACATCAACTATGCTTTTCGGCTTCTTCTTCCAATCCTCTGCATCATATCATACAACAACAATAATAATAATAATAATAATAATAATAATAATAATAATAATAATAAAGAAAAAAACTTGAGTAAAAGAAAGAATGCAAATTTGGAATCCATTTCTCAATAATGTGTGACAAAGTAGAAAAATAAACCAAATCCAATGCATCAAATCCTTTTTCAAACCCCAATTGGGTATAAATGGTTGCAAATAATAAATAATATATAAATTCAAATAGGTATAAATGGTGTTGGTTTGTGTTTTGACTTCCCCTGTCTCCTAACGGTGTAAATAATTTGAATTTTGGCACTGATGGGGCCATTACTCCAGAACATTAGTCGAACTGATTTGACTCAGTCCACCTAATTTCCCGTTCAACATTCTATTGCTAAAAAGATCTGCCACGTGGGGTAGATGGCCATTTTTGTTAGCTGTAGATTAAGTAGAGGAAATGATAATATTAATATGGCATGAGAACAAGTGTGTGGGTCCATCCCCAACTTGCCAGTTGCTGAGTTAACTTCATGACTCTCCTAAGTTCATTCTTGACCGGTGAGAATTGAGTTAATGGGTTATGGTGATTATTCTTAATTGATAATATATATAATGCATATATATTAATTTATAATATATATAAATAATATAAAATATATATGAAAAATATTATATATATATATTGGTATTTTATATTGGTTAACTGAACCGAATTGACACCTTAGGCTTTTTGAAAATATCAAACCGACCAATTTGGTTGATTAGAATTTTTGGTTTGGTCTTGTTGGTTCAGTTCACTTTTTGGTTTTTCATTTTTCATGATCACCACTAAAATTTATTCTCATCTAAATCCTTATCACCTGATGTGATTCATGATGTATTCTCTCAACTCCTTTAGTGATAAGGTTCAACATTTTCTGATCTATTAATTTTAACATGGTTTTAAAAATTAGACCAAAAATGAAACTGTTTTGACCACTGATTCTCAGGGTCAAATGGTCTGACTGCCCTGTCCAACCCCAAATCGAATGGTTTTGGGGTCCAAAATCGGACCCAAAACCATGATCAGTTTCTAGGTCTACTGGTCCGACCATCTGGTCTAGTCCAGTTTTTCAAACCATGGATTTTAACTCTAGAAAACATTTTCTGTTCTAAACATAAAATTGAATTTAGACAGAATTTACAAGGTGAACTTTTTCAAGTATTTAAAAAAATATACCTAGTCCAACAGTTCATGTGGGCAAATGCTATTTTAAAAGAAAAAGAAAATTAAAAAAACCTCCCCTAGGTTATTTGACATTCTTAAAAACCTCTCTTGTGTCTTGATCCTAACAAAACCTCCCCTATATTTTTTAAAAAAGATGCAAATACCTCCCTTCCATCAACTTTCTAGGCGGCAGGAACATTGTTGTAATGCATTAAATTTTTTAAAATATCAAATTTACCATTGACCAACTTCACTCAAATGTATAATTACTAAAATACCCCAAAACAGAACAGATTTACTTTTCTTTATTTCACTCTATCTTTTCATAGTAGAAAGAATTAGGTTTTCAAAGTTGTTAGGCAAAGTAAAGCCAAAATTTTAAATTATGTATAACCAGTATAAGAGCACATGTTATGCATGTGTGCAAATAAGTACTAACCATGCATAGTCCATGGTTTTTGGATTTAACATTTACAAAATGCATGGAACCAAACAATGTACCCACCTTATATAGTATAGATAATACCTTAATGATAATAAGGACATTTTGACAACATTAACCTTTCTATTACAAAAAATCTAATGTAAGAAAGGTATTTGCACATTTTATCAAAAAACATATAGGAGAACTTAAGGTTGGGTGGTACCATTGCCACTTCTACTTGCAACATTTTGTGTTGGTCATTACAAATTCACATCACATCAAATAACCACATGGTCTACATCCACTAAAAAATATAGGCATTGGATTAAGTGTTGGCATTTATAGTAAAAACACCAAATTTGACATATATTGGAGAAGCAACAATGGTACCCAATGTTGTATTGATATCTCAAAGCATGTGTGGTAGAAAAAATTATACTCATAAAATTGGTATTAACCAACCTAAAGCATTGCAAGTAGAAGTGGAAATGGTGCCAAACACAACCTAAATCTCTCTTTCTCCAACACTCCCTTTCCCATCAAATTTCAATCCATTTAACGCCATGCATTTCTATATCTATATCTATACTGCTATTAAAGTGTGAATGGGTTTGAGATTCTGGGATTTTTTGACTAAAATACCCTTACTCTTTGAACTTAGTCCCCCCATATTTATGAGGGCAAAAAACATAATTTGAACTACCACTTCTATTAAATTCACTATATTCCTCATCATTAAATCTTACATTTAAGGTATTAAGTCTCATTTCCATTCTTTAAATCTTATATTTAAAGCACATTAAATAAATGAACTTTGTTGTCTTTTCTTGATTAAAACACCCCTATTTATGAATTTAATCAGCCTTTTAACTATGTAGAAAAAAATATAATTTAAAGCATCATATATTACTTCCTACTTCATTAAATTTCCTCTCATCAAGGTATTAACTCTCATTCACTCTACTTGGATACTTTATTTGAAGTGCTTTTGTTTGTCACCAATAAATTCTACAAAGTAAATCTACATCTAATAATTTTAATAATGTAAAATCTATTTTTAGAATCAACATGAAAAATAATTAAATAAACCACTCTTTTGTCTAAGTAATAAGTTAATAGTTCAATCATCGGCATCAAATGGGTCAACCAATGTTTTCATAGTTAAATAATAAAAATTTAAAATAAATATAAATATAAATATAAATATTACAAAAATAATAAAAAGTTGTAAAAAAAAATTAGACACATCTCTAATATTATCTATTTATCATATCAAACAACATTAAGCGTGCTAAATAAAAGTGTTTTTATTTGATGCAAATGAAATACAAGATTTAAAACCAACACAAAAACAAAATAATTTTCCTATTCAAGTGGTGGGTCAATGATTCAACCTTTTAAGTTAAATGAATCAACCCATGACATCATAGATAAATAATAAAAATTTGAAAAAGATAGAGACACAATAATTATTAAAAACATAAAAATTTTGTAAAAAAACATTTGGGTGCATCTTTAATATTATGTATTCATCATATTAAACAAAAATAAGTGTGATAGATAAGAGTTATTTTTATTAATGATAGACAAAATTAATCTTTAATATTATGTATTCATCATATTAAACAAAAATAAGTGTGATAGACAAGAGTTATTTTTATTAATGATAGACAAAATTAAAAACTAAACTAACTTACAAAGAAAGCTGTTTTTGCATCAAATTAATGGTCAATGGTCCATAGGGAGCAAATTAGGTAAGCTTAACATGAGCTCAAATCGACCTAGCTCATAATTTTAGACCGGTTTAAAAGTTAAGCCTAGCTTCAAAAGTTTAGGCTTATTTATTTTTCGGGTTGGACTCAAGCCTATCCCTTAGGTAGCTAAAGTCAAGCCTAATTATATAGATACAATCATAAATACATATATAACACATATTTGCATACATGCATGTATATACAATTATTCACATACATTTTATGGCAAATTTTTTCATGGGGCTATTTGATAGACCCAAGTCCAAGAATAGCCCATCGTATCAAATTTCAATGCAGGTTGTAGGTCGGGCTCAAGTTGATCAGATTAGGCTTGACTTGGGTATGAAGCCTTAGGTTCAATGCATAGGGTTAGGAATTCATCCCAACCTATTTAACTTGGACCATAATGGTCCAATTGTTTGGGTAAGTGAGTTAACCAATGAGGTCATAATTAAATAGTAAAAATTTAAAAAATATATAGAAACACAAAAAATTAAAAAATGCATATACACAATAGAAAATTTTGAGATATATAATATATTATAAACTTATCACATCTAACAAAAATAAATGTGATAAAAAGTGTTGTTTTTATAATTAATTATGTAAATGGAATAAAAAATTTAAAGTTTCCCACAAATGAGATTGCTTTTTTTCAAGTCAAATGGTCAAAACACATGGTGTCATAATTATATAATAAAAACTCAAAAAATAGAAAGAAATAACAAATATAGAAAAAACAAAAAACTGTCCATATAATTTGTGCACATCTCTAATATCATATAATTATCATATTAAACAAAAATAAATATGTTAAATAAATAGTAATTTTATTAACAATAAAAATGAAATATAAAATTTAATTAAATACACCAAAATACCATGCTTTTATTACTTATCGTTTTTAAACTGTTCTAATAACGATATTAAAATTATTAATATTATGTGATATTACCACGTGTTGCGCAAGTGCATATTTAGTAGTAATGGCGTATTTGAATACTGATGCAAAGCTATGATAGTGCAAATGATTAGGGTATAAATTCTGATTTATTTTTTGTTTCAAATTTTACCTCATTTTGTTTAGTTGCATTACAAATGAAGTAAAATAAGACCTGAATAAAGTAAAACCTAAAGTAAATTTAAATTAGAATTTGCATTCCCATACATTTGCATTAGTGCAAATAACATTACACTGCAAGCAAACACAACCTAAAGAGTAAAACAGAAGAATACAGATTTACTACAAATTTCCAAGCTACTCAATTGCATTGCCGGTCCAAGAAAGCAATTGAAACTGAGATATAAACAAAGTGAGAAGTTGGTGACAAAGATTACCTGGAACGCCGGCAAACCGGAGGCACTCTTCGATCATACGAATATGAGCAGAATGTTGGTCAGAGAGCGGAGTTGGAACTTTTGGGTCATAGAAGCCATGGTGCAGGTACTCCCAGCCCAAGATGTCCTCCCATGTTGCAGTTATCTGGTCATACATCTCCGCTATCTCCTGATTAAACATTTTACTCTCCACTGTCTCCGTCGCCGTCAACGATGATGATGCCATCATCCCTGTCGTCGTCGTCGTCGTCATTGCGAGTCCTGTACGTGTGGATTGGCCAACACCTACTCCCACCGGCGGGGAATTGATCCTCCTTCTTCTATATATTCCTCGATGATGGCTTGCTTGGAGATTGCAGGAAGTAAGGAATGGCGGTTCTAACGTTCGAAACACAGTTTATCTACGAGGTGGAGAGGACTATATAGAGAATAGCATACTTGCAATTATATCGATTCATAAAAAACAATTTAACGGATATGTAACAGTTACGATGACAGTGCAAGTAGAAATGTGTAATGCATTTGGATCATTGGATGGGTCGTCCGTSTCCAATGGATCTCGGGTTATCTTGATGTGGTCGGTAAGTGGTTATCTGGTTCGGACGCAGGTTTGATCCGATTCGTAGTCTGTGGGTCCTGCCCGGGGTTTTCGACCCGTAATAGTAACTAATCACAATGCGACACGGAACCTTTGCCACATGTCCAAACTGGTCTCAGGTGGGGAGATGCCCCACCCAATTTGCATGTGCCGGTCTTGCCATTTGCTAAACTTCCATTGTTAATAGGAGTTTGTATCTGCTACTCACACAGCGCATCTCACACTGATTTGATAATATGTCTTCGCCGCATATCAGGAATATCTCTATTTGTATTTATTATTTATAAGAGATGATTTCGATGTAAGGTGAGATGTGACTGTGAGTTAAGGGTGAGACGCGCACATTGTTATATATTCTAAATCAGGTGAGTCATTTTTGGATATAGGCATGCTGCACGACGGCCATTTTTTGATATAGGCATGCTGCACGATGGTCGGACATTTTTTGATATAGACATGCTTCACGTGAGTTGGCCCATTGACACGCTTATTGGGGGTGGGGGCCCGGGGAGTTGTCTCATTATGTAAAATTGAATATGAAAGAGCCATAGAGGACATCTTGTAAAGCGAAAGGATATTGAGCGCTAGCGCGAAAGCCGTTGCGCGTTAGCGCGCAGCCGTTTTCTAGCCTGCTGCTAGCGCGCGCTGTAGTTTTTGAGCTCGTTGCCTGAGGCCAAGCTTCCCCTTTCCCAAAATATAATTTATTATAGTTAGAGAATCTCAAATTTATACACTAAATCTTATCTGACAGTAAATTTGGACTCTCTGGATTTTCCACCAAATGAATTCTCTATGTGGGGCTGCTTCGGTCCTCTCAAACTGGCATTAAATCGGGTTGTCTGAATTGAAGAATTTTAACTACATTGGGCTCAAGTTGGGGTTTCAGCTCATTCAAAATTTAAAAATGTTCAATCCAATATGAATAATGTTTTTTAGATATGATGAAGGGAAATTTGGCCCGACCTCGCAGCTACCCAACACRTGGCAGAAACAARCAACTCGGGACAGTAGAGCGCCCGAAGCAAGCATCGAAAGCAAAGTCCAAGCTCGCTACTGAGCCCGAACTCCAGACCGCCCTACTAGGAGCCCGAGCTCCCCACCAAGGGCCCGAGCTCCCCGTCGGGAGCCCGATCTCCCTACCAAGAGTTCGAGCTCCCTACTGGGAGTCCGAGCTCCCTGTTAAGAGCCCGAGCTCCCTACTAGGAGTCCGAGCCCCTTGAAGAACCCGAGCTCCCTACCGAGTCCGAGCTCCCTACTGGGAGTCTGAGCTCCCTGAAAAGAGCCCGAGCTCCCCGCCAAGAGCCTGAGCTCCCTACCAAGAGTCCGAGCTCCCTATTAAGAACTCGGAGCTCCCTACTGAGAACCCGAGCTCCCTGCAAGGAGCACGGGCCCCACGCCTCGCAAAGCTGTGACCCGAGCTGGCCCATGGCAGCTCGGAACACTCCCCAAAGCGAACTCAAGACATCTCGCTCACTCCAACACTTCGCCTCCGAAACACCAGGCTGATCAAACGTACCTGACGCCAGGGACGTCCGTATCCTTGGGTGACGCACTTGACTGGTTTGGGATCCGACGCCTGACAGCCGCACTTCAAACGGCCTCCTGCTGCCGCCACCTGCCACCGTCGTTACTAACCGCAGAGACGGCTCTGACAAAGGAACAGTGGCGGTTCTGACCAGTCAGAGGAAATGACATCCGAACTGGCAGGAGTTCAGAAGTAATCATGCCCGATTTGACAGAAGCCTGGGAGTGAGTGCGCGAGGTGGTTATAAAAGGCTCCTACCCCCCAGAAACGAGGTATGCTAACTTTTGCGCTATCTGGTTCATCTTGCCTTTGAAGGATTCTAACTTGAGCTTCGGAGCCCTTACGCCGGGTTCTCCCCGGAGCTTCTCTTCTCCTTCCGTTTCAGGTCCCTGTTACTTAGTTCAGAGGCAAGATCATTGACAGCTAAGACCGGCCAGATTGTGCTTCATCAAGATACAATTGAAGAATTTTAACCCAATAGTTTGAACCTTGGCCTCGGCTAATTAGGACTCTTCTTGTCTCATTGGAGGATCACAATGGAATGAGAAAGCAGGACCCTGGCCGGCACAAGTGTGGGACGTATGTGTACGTCAGCTATGCCCCATATGAGTTTCGTCATCATCTAGCACAGGACGGGCACTAGTGTTGACCGGTCGTTTCTGTGCGTGAGACAGTGCAAAGGGGCATCCGGTTTGGGTCACTCTTGACCCAGAGTTGAAGGATAGACTGGTTTGTTCCTCGGTGTCGTTTCGTCCCCCTGAAGTCGATGCCACATGTAACACGTCAGTTTGGGCTGTTAGATCGACTGTTCCGTGGCTGTTGGATCAAAGAGATCTGAGCCATACGTTTTCTTTAAATAGGGACGCTAGTTGAGTGAGTCCACACCATTCACTTGATCCTCGAGTCTTCACTTGTGATCTCAAGGACCTTAGCTACCAACCAGTCGATTCCCTAAGTATAGGATTCTCACCTTCAACCATGTCATTCTCGGACTCTGGACTTGAATGCTATGAACTCCCTAACTGGAGTGTACTAGCAGTTCCCCTTCTACCTCATCCAGTAGTGGAAGTGACTGTAGTGATTCCGAGAGCTCTCCTCGAGCGCCTAACGTCCAGGTACTGAGGGAGAGGACTACCCCTAGAGGAGCTAAGCACAATCAATGACGCAAGGGTTCTCCCAATGAAAGTACTAGCTCCACGAGGCTGAGGGCTAACGCCACAGGGAATGCCCCAGTGCTTTTTGAAGTGTTAAAGCCGAAGGAAGATGAAGAACCTATTCCCAAGGAGAGGGCTAATGCGTGATGCTGATGTGTTTCTGATAAATTTGCATTTTGATGCCTTAAGGGCATCAATTCAGGGGTATTTTCGGTCTTAGAATAGTCAAGATGTGTCATTTCCCTAGTTAAATGCAATGTTGTGGCCTCTAAGGGTCTCTGTACAAATTTTGGGGAAAACTGGAAAGTTTTCATGGCTTAAATGCAGATTTTGGGAAGCTGGTGTGAAGTCCAACTGAGAGATGGGGTGTTTTTGTGAAAAACTAAAAGCAGGAGGGCGCCTCCTAGTTGCTAAACCCAGTTTGGCGCCCCTTCTACTGTATTAGCATGCTCCCTACGCCTTAGCAAACCCTAGGAAGCCTTTTAACCCATTCTCTTCACTCTTAAGAAACCCTAGCCACCCCTAATTGCTAAATCATCACCTTCCATCCCTTCTAATCTCTACCATCCATTCTAAGGCACTCTCTTTTTAGCATTTTAACCCTAGGAGCCACCTAACTTCTAATCTTCACCATTCAGCCTTTAGCCATTAAATCTCAGTCTTACATAATATTGGGTGCCTTCTCCTTTTCTTTTCAGCCTTAGGATCACCCTAGAACCATCCTAACCCTTCATTCAAAACCTTAGGGTACCCATATTTTTGCTAAAACCCAACTATTGCCCCCCTCTTTCTCTCTAATTTCAGTTATATCCACCCTTCTCTATAAAAAGGACCCCAGG